TTTTCAAAAATGGAAAAATTCAGACAAATAATGGTGCAATATGTCAATGAAAAGAGGGTATGGTGTATAAGAGATATGGGTTAGACTCACATGGTATAGAGCCTTAGGATAGGCTTAGGATAGAGCCTTACTAGGATAGGCTCAAGTCTCAAGAGCAGGGGTATGTAAGGTCATACCAAACCTTTTCCAGATTCTTGACCCAGTGTTTTTCAGGTATGTAGAGACAAAAAGAAAACAAGATACTCTAGTGCAGGGTTGTAAAGATGAAGTTGTATCAAAAAATAGCTGTACAAGGACTTGCTCACCTTGAATAGAGCCAATCATACAAGGCTCTAAGTGTCAGGGCATAAGAGACTTTAAGGGAGAAACTACCCTTCCTGTATACAGGAAACAGTTGAGGGTTCACTGGATGGTATTGATAAAATAACACTTTATTACTTATTATAAAATAAATATAAATATAAAACTCGGATCAATAATACCAGTCCCAGTATTCTGTAAGGTGGACTCTTCTCTCATTCTGAGACGCGTTTTGCTGGTAGGCTTTCTCAGTTGGATTGTCTGTTTCCTGAAAGGGTTGTGTTAAAATGTCCGTGATCTTAATCCGATTGGTCGCTGTGTTCCTCCGGCGGCCATTCATAGTGCAGATGTTCGGAGGTGTGTGTATTCTCTGCTGTTGCTAATCTCTCTTACATCTGAGCCCGAAAGTGACGTGGCGGACCGGTGGTGATGTGCTTGAAGCCCCGCCCCTCCTGGTCTCGTAGTGCTTAGTGCAGGCATACCTTATTGGGATTTCACGCACTGCATCTGCGCACATGTAGTTAAAAGCTCGGGCGGTTATCTTGCATATGGGCAATTTACACAAGTCCAATCACTAGCGAAATGCACATATAGTCCATACATATATGAAATGAAATAACAATGCACGGGAAAAAGAGGAAAAACTGAAAAAAGGTTATATTATCAAAAAAGGGAAGGCACAAAATGTCTCATTAAATTCTCATTGCTTATAGCAGAGGATTTTTTATATCAGCATATGCTTAAAAATAGTGGCATTTGAATTGAGTCAACAAATTTGAGTATATATACTGTATACCTTAATATATGAATCACAGCCAGCACACATTTAAAGGATCTGATTAAAAAATTAGCACATATATTAGTATCTGTGAATATCTAGTTATTCTAGGAAAATAATTGAAGCGTATCAATCTATGAAATTAAGTGAAATGTATATAGGAATAATAAAATATAAATCTAAAAAGACATATATCATATGTGGAAAATATAAAAAGATATACTGTATTGTATAAAAAATTATATAAAAAAAATATATATTCAAAATATATACATTCTAGGAGATCATTATTGTAAAAAGTGGCAGAGCTCAAAGTCGTTATTCCAACCATTGGGTTGCATTGTGTTCAAATGAAAAATCCACTTAATTTCTGTTTGTCCTATTTTTTTTAATGACATCGTCTCCCCTCCAATTAAAGTTAACATTCTGGATACCCATAAAACTAATTTGGCTTGGGTCACTGTTATGCTTAATTTTGAAATGAAGGGATAAACAATGTTTCATGTAACCATTTCTGATGTTATGTACATGCTCCTGTATTCTGACCTGCAGAGGGCGAGTAGTACGTCCGACGTAGGTTAGATTACATATACATTTGGTCATGTAGATTACATGCTTAGAATAACATGTGATAGTCTCTCTGATTTTAAACTTATGGTTTGCATCCTGTGGGTGTGGGAATTCTTTTATATTACTTTTTGTGTTTCTATAGGCTCCACACATCCCACAGCCATAGAAACCGTGAGATTGCATGGGAATGCCTGGCTCTACATGCGCTCCTCCTCCCTCTTTCTCAACCACTCAACCTCCCACCCTTTATTCTTCCTACCCCCTCTTTCTTCCTCCTCTTCTTTTCCCTTTATTCCTTTTTCTCTACTCTGTTCTCCTTCCCTCTTCCTTCCTCGACTCCCACCCTTGTCTCGACCATCCCTGCCCCTTCCTCCCCTCTGTGTCCCCTCTGTGTCAAGTGCACAAGGCTCCCCGGGGACTGAACGCACCTCTGAACGATAAGAGGTTCGCTACGGGATATTTTGCTAATCACAAAGACTACAAGAAAGCGGGGGTAGCCATTCTCTTCGCCAGTCACATACCATTCAATTGCACGGAGGAAAAGACAGATCCACATGGAAGATACATATTTCTAAAAGGTACTATAGCAGACAAGAGATACACATTTTGCATCTGTATATGCCCCAAACTCCAAACAACACCGCTTTATCTCCAAAACCATAAAGCTGCTGGATCAGTTCCGAGAGGGACTACACGTACTAGCGGGCAAGCTAAACGTACCCCTATACCCACGAGTAAACACCTCTAAGGTACGCAGCTCACTCCCAGTGGTCTGTCTTAAGGTCACCCAGAAAGCGCTACATGACACCGGAATGACTGACTGCTGGCGTGTGATGACTTCTCCTACTACTTGCCCATTCATTGCAGCTACAGTCGGATTGACTAGATCCTAATCTCACAAGAGTACCTGCACCTGCTTCAAACGTGTGACAGTCTCACCTCCGCCTGGTCGGACCGCTTATGTAGTGGCTCTCCTAACCTCGCCACTACATAAGCCCAATGGCAGGCAGTGGAAACAAAACAAGCAGATATTAAACGATAAGCTGGCAATGGAAGAGACCAGAACGGTGTTATGAAACTATTTCAAGGAAAACACCCCTACCGAGACCCCGCCGTTGACACGCTGGGAGGCCCATAAGTGTGTAGTTCTGGGCCATTTCATAAACATATGCACCACTCGCAAGAAGGACCATAGCAGGCAACTGGTAGTCTACCCATCTGGCAAAATTAGCAATTGAGAGACACGTTAGTGCACACACGCACATAGAATGGGGGTCTCAAACCCGCATATGCGTCAACCTTTTAACAGTGCATGGTACCTAGGAATGTAAACTGGGATCGAATAAGGTTGACCCACCGGGCGCGGAACAGGATGTTAGATGACTCTTTGATGTTATTGATCTGTTTCCTACTGTTATGCCTTGCTAAATGAAAAATAAAGATTGCCAATAAATGTTAATGTGCTCTCCTTGCTAATGCTTGCAATTAACTTGGTGGATTTGGCTGTGGAGCATGTACAGCGCCACTTGTTGGTTGCAACGATCTAGCAACAGCTATATGCAATTATGCACTACCCGAAAAGCAAGGCTTGATAATTTGCATATTCGGGTAGATTTGCATATAGCTAATTCTGCAGGGAGGAGAGATATTTTCTGTTAATTATTGTCTTTCCCACCCCTTTATAAATATGTCATTATGTTATTATAAATTCCTGCATGTTGTCTAATGTGATTTGACTGTTTGTATTTTTATTGAGTTGTCACAGTAATCTATATGTAATGAACATTTGGGATAGTTCCAAGAAAAATAAAGTTTGTACGTTAGTTTCTTTTGGAACTTGGGTCCTGTAGGGATTCCATTGACAGAGTCATCGGACCTGTTTGCTGGTTGCAGGATCCCTCTAGCCCTGGGATAAAGCAAGAGAGCTAGGCCTGAGAGTCACAGTTGCCTTTGTAAAGACAATAATTATAATAACTGTATGCAGAGCTCCTGAGGAATAGGCAGAGGGGACGATACCTGTCTGGAAGGAAAGCTGCAGAGCAATAAGCAGAGGGGACAATACCTGCCTGGTAGATGAGCTGCAGCCTTGTTGGGAGGAAGAGCTCTGGAGAGACCCCAATCAAGCATCAGTGACTGGGGCTGAAGCATTCCAGGGTCCCTGCAAGTGGCTAGGAAGTGGAATTGGCGGAGGTACTCGGTCTGAGGGCATGGGGAAGCTATAAAACCTCTTTGCACTAATGTGCGAATCATAATGACCAACACATACAGTTTTTAACTGTTTGCCTCCTGGCTACTAGTGTGCAAATAATTAACTCCAAATCCCAAAGCAAAGATTTACTGGCTAATTTGGTAGCTTCGATTAGGACATGTGGTGCCTCGGATTTTGGTTTTCAGCAGAGTAAAAAATCAGCCCATATTCCTCGGAGCTGTACAGTAGGTGGACGAACAAACAAGTATTTGAACAAGACAAATTGGAAGTGTATGAACAGAGGGTGCTGAGGGCCGTGCTCAAACGAGCTTGCATTCTAGGAGTTGGGTAAAATAACACAAGAGGTAAGAGTAAGATTTAGTTCATGTTTGGAAAAAGTAGGTTGCTAGAAGAGTTTACAAACTATTTATTGAAAGACACACTAGCAGCAGAGAAAGCAAGGTGGGTTACCAAGGTGTGTGGGGGGGAGAATGCTCTTCTTGAAGGAATGGAGAATGGGTGAGAGCCTAATACAGCACGATAGATAGCTCCACAGGAACAGTATAGCTCTAGAGAAGTCTTTAAGGAAATATAACAAAATTGGTGGAATTTACTATGAGGAAAACCTTTACTTTTTAGATCACTTTAATGAATATGATCAAAATAATGATGGAGTTTAACTATCACTTTTCAGAACACTTTGATAAATATTTCCCACAATCTCATCAAGAACTCTGAGAGGGAAAATTCTCCTTACTTTGCATTCTATTTAATCGACTAAAACATTTTTTTTTCCTTCCAGAAACATGATCATTTTGAACTGGATTGAAGCACATAATATTCTGGTAATATTCAGCATTTGGCAATATTATGAATAAAACTTCAGCTGCAAGAACTGTATTGTTTGCTACACTGAGAAACTGAGAAACAAAACAATTCTTTGTAACACATTGAATTCCACTTTAAATATTCTTAAGCAACTTCAGGTACAGTTAAAACAAAGTGCAGGGCCTTTACATGACATCCATTGACATGATGAAATTAGAGAGCTATTTCCAGCCCAATGTAAATATTTGCATTTTTTTTTTTAAACTCACTTAAACCATTTGAAATACCAAATCTGAAGTGAGTTAAGATTGAACTTGCCTCAGCCTGAGACTATCACTTTGTAAACATTAGGACATCATTCCCAGTCCAACAATGTCAGCCTGACAATGAGCTGATCGTGGAAGAGGTGAGTGAAATATCCGCAAGCTACATCCGAGATCTATATAACAAAAGCATTATTTTTCTGGATTATTAACTCTTACAACATTTTTGTCTGTTTAAGAGCTGTTTTGTCATTTGTTTTGTAATTTGCTCTTGCATCATTTTTTTTTTGTGTGTGTGGGTAGGAGGTTTTCAAGTTGCACAATCGTTGTGAAACTCACTTAAAATATTTATGAAACATAAAAGATAAATCATATTTTACCAAAGTAATACTAATATTAATTAATAATAAAAAAAAAATCCCAACATTTAATTCTGACCTACACATTGACAGGCAGTGAGGTCTGTTTTTGTGTTGACCAACTTTTTTTTTTTTTTGTTATCTTTTGTTATCTTATTGCTGCATCAATTTAGTATATTCATTTAAGTGTGTCAAAGCTTTTGGTTAACAGGAACACTGTCAGCACTAAAAATTCTCAATAAAGCTGTTTAGGGGAATGAGTGTCTGGGCTCCAAAACTATGTAACCCTGAAGTTAGTCCACCAGAGTAGTGACCCCTCTACCTCCTCTCTTCCTTCTCCTGACAGCCACATTTTCAGTAAGATTGCTTACACTCAACTATCACTGGCCAGAAATAACATGTACTATTTCTCCCAAAGTGTGGCCAGTGATTGGATGAGTGCATCAACTAATGGTTTCAGCCAATTAGCAGCATTCTGACTGTCACCAATGGTTACCATTGAGAGCATCCATTTATGCTCTTAACCCATCACAGGCCCTGCATTGAGAGAAATAATATGTATTAACCACTGGAAAATTACAGCGCTCCTGTCCACTGGAACATTACAGAGCTCCTGTCCTCATAACAACTTCATTAAATTGATAATGCATGCTATGCGTAAGTCTGATTCAGTTCCATCACCATCTTAATTGTTTGGATCATCCACATTCCATTCCTTCTCCAATATTTCTGAATTTCTTGCTGAACTTATTTATAACAGCCTTTTATCATCAGCTATCATGTGTATGTCTCAAAATTCTTTCTCAAATACATTATTCATTCTGTTTATTACCTATATGTATTTCTTTTTTTATCGTGCTATTATCTTCAAGATATCTCAAAAAGCTGTAACTAGCCCCATGAATGCTTCACTTTGCTCTGTCAGACACTGCCCCACTTTTTTTACCTATCTTCACCGATAACTCTGAGTATCCAGTACAAGGTGTCAAAGTTCTCACCGTGAGATCCAGACATGGTCGCCCCAGAAGTGGCCAACAGAGCATTTGAACTCTGTATTCTTTCTGCCTTAGTCCTGCTGTCTTGCCTCTGGACCACACTTTAGTTCTCCATATCTTGTCTCCAGCACTGGGGGCAGGACTTTACTCGTGGTTGCTCCTCTCTATCTAGCCCACCTGAAACAGATCATTAATTAGCTGGGTATAGAAGCACTGCCTCGCCCTGGGAACTTTGTCAGTTCATTGACTCTGGTTCCTGTATTTGTGTTTTTGATCCAGTGTTCTCCAGACAGCTCTTGACCTTGGTTTTTCTAATTGTTTATCCTGGCATCCTCTGACTTTGGCTTACCCTCAACTATCCTCCTGCTTTTTTCCTTACCTGTACTGCGACTTGGAGCTATATCCTGCATAGCCCCCGTGCACAGACTCACAGCCCAGGTGGCTTCTTATTTGGTCACCTTAGTCTGTGTTTATTTGCAAGAGTGAGCATATTAGTCACCCTGGACGTAAGCAAGATCTCAAAGTATTCAAAAAAGCATTGCAAGCTGTAATGCCTCCCCTGCGAGAACTACTAAAGCAAAGGCTACTGTAGGTGCTGTGTTTCCCATTAATCTGGAAGAAGGCCTGGATGCCTATGGGAGAACGTACCTTCTGCAAGAGGGTAACTCTGACCTGGAATGAAATGGTGAGCAACCAGTTCACACCCAGAGGGTGTTCTTAAAGGGTGGGTTCTGTCACAGTTCTCACTGTGACATCCAGACGTGGTCGCCTCAAAAGTGGTCAACAGGGGATTTGAAATCTGAACTCATTCTGCCTTAGTCCTGCAGTCTTGCCTCTGTGCCACACTTCAGTTCTTGTTTCTGCCTAATATTTATCCTCGTCTTGTCTCCAGCATTGGGGGTTGGACTTGACCTGTGGCTGCTCCTGTCTATCCAGCCCACCTGAAGCAGATCAATAATTAGCTGGGTATATAAGCACTGCCTCGTCCTGGCAACTCTGTCAGTTCATTGACTCTGGTTCTTGATCCAGTGTTCTCCAGATGGCTCCTGACCTTGGTTTTTCTCATTGTTTATCCTGACCTCTGGCATCCTCAACTATTCTCCTGTTTTGTCCGAGCTATATCTTGCACAGCCCCCATGCACAGACTCACAGCCCAGGTGGCTTCTTGCCTGGTCACCTTGGTCTGTGTTTATTTGCAAGGATGAGCGTATTACTCTGCACGTCGGACTCCACATCAGGTAAGATCCTGACACAAGGTCGCTAATAGACATAATCACAAAGCATCTCTATTTCCACATGTGATTGTCTGTCTTTGTGTAACTCTACATAGTAGTGTGCTAAGTACCTTCCCTTGTTGACATCTGGAGCTACAGGCTTTCTTTCCTAATTATTTATTTTTGGAGACTTGCAGACCCAAAAGAGAAATTCTAGTATGACTTCATTGAGGACCTGTATTTTATACCTGTCTGCTGTCTCACCAATCCAGGATGTGAATTCAGGCCACCCCAAAACAACACTTTTTATTCCCTTACCTCTTTCTTACTCGATTGTTTCATCTTTGTCTACCCCAGTTTTCTCTCCATTGTCATACCCTCTTCTCCTTTTTTATTTCCCTAGTTCTATCAGCTCCCTTTTCCTTCATCCTAGTACCCCCAACCTCCACTTCTCATCTCATCCTTTGCGTCATTTCTCAGCTGCCGTTCTCCATCACTTCATTCCTTTTAGCACACCTCCTTTTTATCTCCTGTCCCTCTCAGGCACTCTCCCTCTTCACCACTATTATCCTTGTAGCAATGTATCCAATATTGCATCACCTTGTATAAATGTTCTTTTTCTAGAATATAAACTGATTCCTAGAATAAAATAATCTTCTGTTATGGCTCCGCACAGTGTCAAATGCGTTTTCTAAAAAAAGGAGATGCTATTTATTTAATAAAATGAGAATGTGCTCAATCTGCACGTACAGATTTAGCAAACATTGCTTGATTATGAAAGCCTCCTGTACGCTGCCAAACTGCACCAGAGCCATGTTTCTGGACAGTCCCAGCATGTGAAAGGAGCATGTCAATCTCATTATTTTTCAAGCTTATGAACAACAAACTTAATGTTTGCTTTAACTATACTTGACCTGAAGATAAACTGCCGTGATGTGTTGTTCAGACCTGCCTATAAAAATGTATTACTTTGACACAAAATTGAAGAAAGAAATGGAAAGAAAAATGAAAGGAAAAAAAATCCCTGTATGAATTATAAACTGAAATAAGCTACTTTAAAGAAAAATGTATGATAATACTTCAGTTGTACAATTATCCATCAAAAAATCTGTATCATTGCTCACCATCCCAAATAACTCTGAATACACATACATAATTAAAACACTCAAAATTATTTCTACTACATATTGTGAGAAACTGGAAATTACTTTGCCTATCACAGCTTGACCAGTAATAAATAAGATCTTGATTTTGATCAGGAGCCGCTGGTCGTGGTGAAAGTGGACAACTGAATACAGTACTGAAGGCTCACACTAGCTCATTAATTCTAGCTGATGACCAAGCTAGCAAGGATTATTAGTTACCCCAATGTATGAACATTGTTAAAACAGGGGTTTATATAGAACAATTTGATCTGGCTGAGTTAGGGCAGGCCTTGTGACTAGGGCAGTGGTCTTAAACAGGGAATCAATGACCAGAAATGGTCAAAGGTCTTACCGATATCAAACTGGCATTCTCTAAGTCCTAGACACTGTTCTCTGAGACCTGATTCATGAACTATGATAGAGGGCAACCTTTACCCGTAGGAACCAGTCATGACAACTATGGTTTACTTAGCAGGTTTAGTGTTTTAGGTTTTCCTTCTTTTTCTACATTCTTAGTGTTCTCTAAAATATTTTCATAGTTTAGTACTGGCATCTGAACATACTTGTTAAAATAAAATCTTCCCGTTTGCTACATGGACAATCTAGAATTATTAACTTATATTCACCAATTGGCTATTTAAAGAGAGTGCATGTGGCTAAATTGACATTTCTTCCAGCCAGTCATACAGCTTAATTTTGTTATTAGAGGAGACAGGGTTTCTTTTCCTTATTAAATAGCAATTTTCCCAGAGATATCAATAGAACAACTGCTATTTAATACTATGAGTTAAAGGGTTACTCCAACTAAAAACCAATGTTTTAAGAATTCTGGTCTCCAAGCCATAGTTACATAGTTACATAGCTGAAAATAGACTTGCGTCCATTAAGCTCAGCCTTCCTCACATTCTTTTTTTGCTGTTGATCCAAAAGAAGGCAAAAAACCCAGTTTGAAGCACAATTCCTTCTTGACCCCAGAATGACAGTCAGATTTCTCCTTGGATCAAGCAGTTATTACCCTACATTGAAAGATTATATCCTTGAATATTCTGTTTTTGCAAGTATACATCTTGTAGCTATTTGAACATCTGTATGGACTCTGATAAAACCACTTCTTCAGGCAGAGAATTCCACATCCTTATTGTTCTTACAGTAAAAAAACTTTTCCTTTGCCTTAGACAAAATCTTCTTTCTTCCAGTCTAAACGCATGACCTCGTGTCCTATGTAAAGTCCGGTTTGTGAATAGATTTCCACACAATGGTTTGTATTGGCCCTGAATATATTTGTATAATGTTATCATATCCCCTCTCAGGCGACGTTTTTCTAAACTAAATAGGTTTAAATTTGTTAACCTTTCTTCATAGCTGATATGTTCTATTCCTTTTATTAATTTTGTAGCCCGGCTCTGCACTTTTTCTAGTGCCATAATATCCTTCTTTAGAACAGGTGCCCAAAATTGCACAGCATATTCAATATGTGGTCTTACCAGTGATTTATAAAGAGGTAAAATTATATTCTCATCCCTGAGAATGAATGCCCTTTTTCATGCATGACAATATCTTACTGGCCTTGGCCACTGCTGATTGACATTGCATATTGTTGCATAGTTTGTTGTCTATAACAATTCCCAAGTCCTTTTCGTGTGTTGTTATCCCTAATTCGCTTCCATTAAGGGTATACGTTGCTTGTGTATTCTTTATTCCGAAGTGCATAACTTTGCATTTTTCAACATTAAATTTAATCTGCCATTTGAGTGCCCAGTCCCCAGTCTATCTAAATCCCTCTGCAGCAAAGTAATATCTTGCTCACATTGTATTATTTTACAGAGTTTTGTGTCATCTGCAAACACTGAAACATGACTTTCAATTCTGTCTTCAAGATCATTTATAAACATGTTAAATAGAAGGGGTCCCAGGACAGACCCCTGAGGGACACCACTTGCCACCTCTGTCCAGCTTGAAAATTTACCATTAATGACAACTCTTTGTACTCTGTTTTTAAGCCAATGTTCTGCCCAAGAACAAGCATTTTCATCTAGACTGATTTCCTTGAGTTTGAACACTAATCTATTGTGTAGAACTGTATCAAATGCCTTGGCAAAATCCAAATAGATCACATCCACTGCAACACCCTGATCTATACTTCTACTTACTTCTTCGTAGAATGCAATCAAGTTAGTTTGACATGACCTGTGATTCATAAAACCGTGCTGATTTTTGCTGATAACCATGTTCTTCTCAAGGAATTCTTGAATATTATCCCTTAATAACCTTTCAAATATTTTACCAGCCACAGAAGTTAAGCTCACAGGTCTATAATTTCCAGGCAAGGATTTTGAACCCTTTTGAATATAGGAACCACATCTGCCTTCCTCCAATCCTCCGGAACACTTCCTGAAAGAAAAGAATCTTGAAAGATTAAAAACAGAGGTTCACTTATTTCTACACTTAGTTCCTTAAGTACTCGTGGATGGATACCGTCAGGCCCTGGAGCTTTGTTTATATTAACCATAATGTGAAATAATTTTAAAAAGCTGTAACTTACCTCTACTCCAGCACTAAGGCCAAGTTATCACGTCAGTAAAGTTACTCAATGTGAATCAATTACTGCATTTTATTTCTTGATGCTTTAAAAAATTCCAGAATTAGGTTACTTCCTCATTAGGTCACTCAGAAGAACATTGTAATGCTTGGACTTCTTGTTCTTAGGATGTACATCTGATTACACAATGTCACAATAACAACATGCCCAACGTGCAATGTTAGATCACTCTTTGGTAAGGTATGAAACAGACATGGACATAAGTGTAATACCGATCCTTATAGGCAGGGTTTAACATCGAGAACAAAAAAGAGTAACCTGAAAAAAAGATCAAAGTAAAGTTGAAGACCAGTCAAGGTCTAGAATCACAGCAGGTAACAATAATTGTTAAACAAACCACTGTCAAAGATTACAGCATGGAGTATAGTCAAGGACAAGCCAAAGTCAGATTGCAGGAATCACAACTGAATAAGAATGAGCTTTCGGATCATCACAATGTAAACCATGAAAGAGCAAGGTAGAGAATGTTTAAATAGTCTTTAAAAAACTGTGATTGGTTATATCTACAACGCCAAATGGTGCCAGAGCAGAAATTGCACATGTAGGTGTGCATCAGAAATGTAACACTTGAAGTGCACTTGAAGTTTAAACAACCAGCAATCAAATTGCTGCCAGAAGATGCAGGATGCTAGAATGCATAGTAGGACTATACTCAGATCTTACAGCTACTGTGACATGCCACTGGTTTGCTGACTTTTAGAATTAATGTTAGTTGAACCATACCATTTTTATCATTGGTATATTGGTATAGAAAGCATTATGAAAGGTAATTGTTAAGTTTTGTGTAAACCCATGCTGGAACTTGGAGAAGAAAGACTGATTGGTTTAGATGAAGGCATACATTAAGATTCCATTAAGATTCCTGTTTTGAACAACGATATCTTTTGTGATCTTTTGATATATAAAGGGACAATCTAAGCACGCTAACTACTACAAGTTATATAAACTTATCGGAATTTGTCAGCATTAAATTAAACTTTTTGGCATCATGGAATTGACTATGTTTCCTGTAACACGTGTCAATTTGGTGGTGCTGTTAAGGTTAAAGGCAATTTGGCATAGATGAATCCTGCTTACGTGAACTATTTGGGATGCATAAAGAGAAAGGTTAAATCATTGCTGATAAGAATTTGTGTGATTAGAAGGAAGTGTGTAATCTTTGCCTTAGCCACACCATGAGTGAGGGTTGAGCTTGGGTGTCCAGGGACCCCCATCCAATGTTAAAATGCTTGAAAATGGTTAAACACTGAATTGAGAGGTGGAGCCAGAAACCCCAGGTAATAGAACCAATTCAATGAGATGAAATACAGTATATAGGTATGAGAGGCTATAATGTACAGTAATGTGTAGCATTGGCAATATAACCACAACTATTGATAGTAGTGTTTGGAATGGCCTATTAAATTTCCGCATTAATAAAATAGTACCTGTTTATTACTGCTCTCTTTGGACATGAATAGTTGCTAGTAACAAGCTTAGTGAAAGTTTATGTGTAAATTCACTAGGCTCATTAAAATTTCTAAAATGCAGGAGGCTGGATCAGTGCAGGTAACAAACTACTTAGCATCTCTTGGTATGGATTTTAAGGATTCGTAATACAAGGATACATTATCCTCATTATAACTATATGGATGCATCAATGTATTACAATTATTTATATAGCGTCAATGTATTCCACACAACAGGTAAACAAGACAAACATTTAATTAAAACAAAACACATAAGATATATGGGAACAGTAGGTGAAGAGGTGGCTGCCCAAACAAGCTTACAATCTAGACAGAAGAGGGACAAATACATAAAGGGAAGTGAGGAAAAGACATTAATTAGAGGGCCTGGCATCCAGTACTACAACCTAGCTTACTGCACAGGTAGAAAAGACACAGAGGTTGCCAGCCTGAGTAGAGGCAACAGAGAAAGTTAAAGGTCTGTGGTCTCCATAATCATTTCATCTCTTTGAATTGGTTATAGTTCCTGGAGTCCCCAGGCACTGTCCCACCATTCAGTGTGAATCCATTTTAGAGTTGTCTCACACCCACAGTCAGGCCCCTTCTGTAGGTGGGACTAAGGCAGAGAGTATACACTTCCTTGTTGTCATACCCTTCATACTGTCAGTTAGAGCTCTGATAGGATAAACGCAGTCAGCTGATACTCTTAGCCAGTCACAGCTGCCCATTGCTGCTCAGGCTAATACTTCCTCATTAGCCAAAGCAGCATTTGATTAATTTAGGTAGCGTTAAAACATAAAACCATTAAACATTGTTTACTGCTGCATGAAATGGCAGTAGCAGGGGACTCCAGACACTAAACCATTTAAATGAGATTAAGTAGACACAGTGCCTTCAGTGGCCCACAGTCATATCCTAAAACCCATATTATCACTTATATATTGATATTGCTTGATGACCATAAATATTGATATTTTTTCAGATTTCCATCAATTCGTTCCTTATGTTCTTTTCACAATGGCCAGATGATTTTACATTTATGTGTCAGTGTGTTTGTTAATATCTGAATAAACCAAAGCCCGGTCATTCTTTTACGATATGTTAGAACATCATGTGGATTTTGCAAATTCCTTCTTCTATGTTTGGGTAGGAGTTTTCTCCAATATCTATCCTTAAACTTACAATCACCCTCATTCATTCTTGTACTTTATTATTTTTTCTGAAACATTTTCAAGGCACGTTCTACTTAGCACCAAGTTATTCCAGACAAGTAGCAAGAGTATAAATCAACAACTATTCTTAATTGAAACATCTTAGTATGAAATGCATTTCACTTCTCAAATTTAACAGGTGTTTATATACCCCCTGCTCTTTTGACATTTGCCAATCGGGTATATTTAAAGAAAGAAAAATATTTAGGTATGTTGCCTAATACAAGTTTTTATTGGCATCATAACATAAAAGCAACATCAGTGGTTTCAACAACCAATACTGAAGATCTAACAATTTCATAGGTTTGCACTTTTTTGTGAAAGCTCTCCAAGCTTTAAGCCAAGTTAGAAACCTTTTGGGTATAATATCTATCCACTTGACTATCTTCTCAGGATCTTCAATGATCTTCTGCATCACCTGGTGGCCTTGTCTAACCAAAGTTATGTCGCGATTGTTGTATTCACTAGTATTGTCACACAGTCATAATATAATATCAGAATGGTTTCTATCTACGGAAGATATGTTGAGATCAACATACTTGCATATATACTCATACATATGATCCATAACAAGATGGTAAGTGATATTGTGCTGAAAACACAGAATCTCAATAGTCCATACTTTCAGCCAAATTATTTATTATGTTGGTATTTAAGAATGATACAAGAGAAATAGTCAGTTTATGCCAAAAAAAATGTTGTTACAAATATGGCAGGCCTGATTTAACTTGTTGCAGACCCTTAGTTTACAAATTGAGAAACTCTGTGGTACCCAAGTGAAGAGGTACTTTGCTCTGAAAACCTTTGAAACCACAGAGTATTGTGTTGCTTCTGCCTACTTTCACTTATTTAAGTACTAAAAGAAGACACATTCTTAATAGCAACTTCACCCAGACATTTTCAAAGGATAACATATGATATTTCAGTACAAGAGCACATAACACAACAAACCAAACCTAACTTGATTGAAGTAGAATCTCAATAATACAATCAATTCTATTATCTCATAGTGTCAATGATCAATGCTGGCCAAAATCAAGACTGAAATGGAAAATGCAAAGTAATCCAATCCAATGGAACATACCTAAACATCGTTACTAGCACTTGCTCGATCCACTTTTCCATCACTGAAACATAAGGAACCAAGCAATTTAGGATACAGACAACATGTTTACCCTTGAACTTACCTGCTAAACAGGAGGAAAGACTTTGAGAAGTCCTTGTTTAAGAAGTCCTTATGAGATGCATGAATTTGTAGGTAATATAGTAGGGCACAGTAGCTTATTTACAGCTTCTGAAACATGAATTGTGCCTTACACACTACTACTGAAGGTTATTACTATAATGGTGTAATGATCAGTTTGCAAGTATGCACATTTTGGATATTGCCAAACACTTTAATGTTGTCCATTCATCCGGCCTATTCCGTAGAAAATTCCAAGAGTGGAAAACTGTTTATTCAGAGTATTATTTCCCAATATAACATGCACAGCTAGTGACTGTTGGGCTTTATAACCACTTACACATTTAACCTTTAAAATAAGTTATTGTTTTTCTTTACATTGACATTATTAATAATACGTTGCTGATAAGAAGAGGAAATCAGTTGCCACCTTAGAATTTTTGCAACAATTTCTAACCATCATTTGCGGGGAGTTTTTAAATCTTTTTTAACAACAACAACTAAAATGTGCAAGAATCAACTGTATATTCACATATTCTCTTAACCTCAACCATTTTCTTACTATATTCTATATTCTGTTCGGTATAAGTAAACATGTAAACATGTATTGTGTAGTTTTGAAAACAGCAATGTAACTTTAAAAGTACATTAATTGTAGCCTCCGATGAACTTCAAGCATTGAATTCCATTATAATAAAAGCCTATACAACCTGAATGATAACTACTGTGTTGCATATATTTTCCATTTTTTCTGCTACTCTATGTTTGTCTGTTTTAATAAGTACATGTTTTTATATGTATTTATATATAATAAATAACACACATTCTTTTACTTTTTAAATAAAAACTGAACAGATAAGTGAAAATATATATATATATATATATATATTTATTTTTTTAAGGGACACTTTAGGCACTTTAAGAACTTAATCTTGTTGAAGTTGTTGTACTGCCTGCAGTCCTGCCCAATCCCCTCCCTCCACCCTACCACTCTACCACCCAAAACCCAATATTAAACTAATTAGAAGGCTTGGAAGCATGGCTTCAAGCCATGTCTCCAGGCCCTCTGTGTATGAGAGCTGGGAAACTATCAGAAGATACTGCGAAATCACGTGTGAATATAATGGTTTCAATAGAGGAAACGTAGGCGCATTGCCAATCTCGTCCATACATTCCCCAATGCTCCTCTATGTGGAGCATCGGATTGGCCCGTCATATTTTAGGCACACCTCTAGAATTACGCAAACCGAGGAGGAGGTCGTGACTGCACTGATGGAGACTCGTCACTGGAGAAAGGGTGATTAATATATTTATTATTTATTATTATGTTTTATTTGTGTGCAGTTGTGGAGGCAAATTGTTAAGGGACACTAGGACTGTACAGCTATTCCTAACACTACAGTGTTCCTTTAAGTGCATTTAAAAAAAAAAAATTCTGAACTATATATTGTAGTTGTCACTACTTTCTCATGTATTCAAAACCAACATATTCTTACTCCACAGCAGTGAATCAGAAATCATTGAGTAAAAAAAGCTATATGGCAATATTTTGCCTTAAATTGATAAAGCTGTTCTGTGCACTTTCGCAGTAAACTTTGCCTGAACTTTCAATGAACCATGAATAAGATTTGGCAGAAAATTAATCATAATTTTTATAATCAAAGATAACTATAGACAAGCTGTGTTAGCATTATTTTTTCTTCTCCCATATTCAGTCCCTAATTATAAAAATGATCTCCGTGACCTATAAAATGAACGTGAATTATTTTCTTGACTCAACATGCTACCAAGATTCTAATCCACTCACTCACCATATCCAGCTTTGATGAATACATCCTCATTCTATCTGGCAACCTTCTATGCTACCTTTCAGCATTCCAGTCCATACAAAATGCTGAATGAAGCCAGAATCACAAAGCTCACTCATCGAACTTCAACTGCCCTCTCTGCAAATGTATATCGACTTCTCATTAACTGAAAAAAAAATCTTCAAACTGCTTACCTTGTAGGAATTAGTTTGGAGTTAGAAGTCTTTATGCAAAGATGACAAAAATAAAATAAATGCTGGATATGTCGTTTTAAGATTAAGGAGGGATTATTAAGACTGCAATATGGTGGTAAATGGTTTTAAGCATTAATTGTATGACATTTTGAGGAATGTAGAGATGTCACTTTTCCTAGAAGTCCTGTCATGAAAACAACTCTTTAACCCCTTAAGGACCAAACTTCTGAAATAAAAGGAAATCATGACATGTCACACATGTCATGTGTCCTTAAAGGGTTAAATTACACTAGTTCCATTAATAGTTATATGTGCAGCAGAGTGCAGCACATAATTATTATTAAATGTATCCTTATTAATAAAATACTTTTTTTCTAATATGTAATACATTATTAGGAATAAACAAATGATACAAGTCAAAGGAACACTATAGTGTCAAACATGTATTCCAGACACTATTCAGGGAGTGCAGAATTATTAGGCAAGTTGTATTTTTGAGGATTAATTTTATTATTGAACAACAACCATGTTCTCAATGAACCCAAAAAACTCATTAATATCAAAGCTGAATATTTTTGGAAGTAGTTTTTAGTTTGTTTTAGTTTTAGCTATGTTAGGGGGATATCTGTGTGTGCAGGTGACTATTACTGTGCATAATTATTAGGCAACTTAACAAAAAACAAATATACCCATTTCAATTATTTATTATTACCAGTGAAACCAATATAACATCTCAACATTCACAAATATACATTTCTGACATTCAAAAACAAAACAAAAACAAATCAGTGACCAATATAGCCACCTTTCTTTGCAAGGACACTCAAAAGCCTGCCATCCTTGGATTCTGTCAGTGTTTTGATCTGTTCACCATCAACATTGAGTGCAGCAGCAACCACAGCCTCCCAGACACTGTTCAGAGAGGTGTACTGTTTTCCCTCCTTGTAAATCTCACATTTGATGATGGACCACAGGTTCTCAATGGGTTTCAGATCAGGTGAACAAGGAGGCCATGTCATTAGATTTTCTTCTTTTATACCCTTTCTTGCCAGCCACGCTGTGGAGTACTTGGACGCGTGTGATGGAGCATTGTCCTGCATGAAAATCATGTTTTCTTGAAGGATGCAGACTTCTTCCTGTACCACTGCTTGAAGAAGGTGTCTTCCAGGAACTGGCAGTAGGACTGGGAGTTGAGCTTGACTCCATCCTCAACCGAAAAGGCCCCACAAGCTCATCTTTGATGATACCAGCCCAAACCAGTACTCCACCTTCACCTTGCTGGCGTCTGAGTCGGACTGGAGCTCTCTGCCCTTTACCAATCCAGCTACGGGCCCATCCATCTGGCCCATCAAGACTCACTCTCATTTCATCAGTCCATAAAACCTTAGAAAAATCAGTCTTGAGATATTTCTTGGCCCAGTCTTGGCGTTTCAGCTTGTGTGTCTTGTTCAGTGGTGGTCGTCTTTCAGCCTTTCTTACCTTGGCCATGTCTCTGAGTATTGCACACCTTGTGCTTTTGGGCACTCCAGTGATGTTGCAGCTCTGAAATATGGCCAAACTGGTGGCAAGTGGCATCGTGGCAGCTGCACGCTTGACTTTTCTCAGTTCATGGGCAGTTATTTTGTGCCTTGGTTTTTCCACACGCTTCTTGCGACCCTGTTGACTATTTTGAATGAAACGCTTGATTGTTCGATGATCACGCTTCAGAAGCTTTGCAATTTTAAGAGTGCTGCATCCCTCTGCAAGATATCTCACTATTTTGACTTTTCTGAGCCTGTCAAGTCCTTCTTTTGACCCATTTTGCCAAAGGAAAGGAAGTTGCCTAATAATTATGCACACCTGATATAGGGTGTTGATGTCATTAGACCACACCCCTTCTCATTACAGAGATGCACATCACCTAATATGCTTAATTGGTAGTAGGCTTTCGAGCCTATACAGCTTGGAGTAAGACAACATGCATAAAGAGGATGATGTGGTCAAAATACTCATTTGCCTAATAATTCTGCACTCCCTGTAGTGGTAAACTATCTGTTTAGTTCCCCAGCCTCCCTCCAATCACATGGGTAAGATGTTTTTACTAAATGTTTTCACATGCAGCACCAGTCTTACCGTGGCCAGCCCCATCTGGCTGCGCCTCCATGACTTAAATCATCTTGGGAAACATTGGGAGACTATTGCGAAAGCACAGCAAAACGCCGAACGGTGCCAATCAGCATCTCTTCATAGTGATGCATTCATTTAAAGTATCTCTATGGGGAGTGTTCAGCATCTTCATGCAAAGCATGGAGACACTGAACATAGGTGCTGCAAAAAGGTGGCTGTAAAAAAAACCAGTGTTTCCATTGAGAGGCATGCAGGGACAGTCTATAGACACCAGAACCAATATATTAAGCTGTAATGGCTCTGGTGACCATAGTGTTCCTTTAACACAGAGGTTAGATCATCACTCTAGTTTAGCCTACCTCTACTGGTCCCTCGACTAACTTATTTAATATCTTGTCTTGCAATATTTGACCAACCTGATCCTACTTTCATAAAATTGTACAGTTTAAAGATATTCCTCGCATATCAACACTATATTACTAAGACTAACCATATAGTCGATTAGCTTAGCGTTTTTTTTTTACTACCTTAGCACTCTACTCACTGACATATGGTATATTAGTGTGTTCTTAATACTCTACTGTACCTCATCTTAACTTGTCGATCTACAATATCTCTTATTTACACTCTGACCTAGATATGTCTGTATAGCCTGTTTACTTAATACTACAAAAATTATGCATAACTATCGCTTGCCATGTACAGATTTACTATTGTATGTTACCGCGCTTGTTGCTGCTGTTGTGGCACTGCAAGTTTAAATGTATCTCACAAAATGCACAACAAAAATAAAGAATTATAATAAAATAATACAATTAAAAAAGAGGTTAGATCATTTTAAGGAAATTAATTGCATAGTAAGCTAATATGCTTCCATTATGTGTTTTAAAAGCTATTGTGGTAGGTTTCTAAATGGCCTGTGGCTCATAACCTGGGGATGTAGGGGTATCTCGGTACACCCCTACATTGGATCACTCGGGCAAGTTGTTTAAACTTTATTATGTTTCATGGTGTTATATATGTTGTTATATTGTTATGGTGTTTATGCTGTTAATGTTGGGATCATTGTCATTGTAATGTTGTATTAGGGGCAATGGGGGATATTTTTTTTAATGTGACACAGGATTTGTTTGACAATGACTTTTCATATTAACATACATTTTTTATTATATCAAAAAGCTGTGGACATAATTTTACCCAACAGATTGGTGTCCATGTATTATTGGGTATGTATGTTTATTTTATTCTTAATGCCCAAGGGGATGACTATTTGCCAGTTAAGTCCCGTAAACAAACATAGAAACATTGACAGATACCATCTGAAGGTTGTTAGCACAGTTGGTGGACTTGGATGGATTGTACTTGCTAACTTGACAGGATAAGTATTTTGTGGTAAATTGTTGGCGAGATATATAGGTCAGAATGAGCATTGAAATCAATTCTAAAGGGGTGACTATATTCATTATGGAACGTTGTGATAAAGGAATGTGTGATAAAGACCTATTTTGGAGATTGACTGGATTTACGGAGAGGAAGAGATAGCAGCATCAGCAACATGGCACTAAGACAGCAAACCACCAATAGAAGACATCCATCAGTCTGTCTCTCTGTCTGTATTTCTGTCTTTTATTTTAGAAACTAATGAAAATTAAAGACAAGAACAGTACACAGCCCCTCCAAGAGTCTAAATTTTTGTGGGACAGTTTCTGATTTCAGGTTTCTGTCCCGTTGTCCCGATATTGTTCCCTGGTGTCCTGCATCTAGGGACACTAGGAAATTATCCTTGGAGCTGCACAGTGTGAGTGCATCATTAGACATATTTACAAAGTGAGTAGGCACTAGCATCCTGCAGAGATTGCTTCAGCCGCATTTTTTGCAAGGCTCTGTAGGCTGGGGACCTGCCAGATAGGCTTCTTTTCCAGAGAGGCCCACCACCCATTATGGGCATCACAAGTGACACGAGTTGCGTCACTACTGAGTCCACCTCAGGGCCTCCCCACCTGTCCCCATCTCATGCCTACTTTTGTTCTTTAGAAAGCAATTGCGTGTTCATCCAAACTGAAAGTTCATTGTGAAGGTCCAAATTATGATTGTGTGTACTAAAAAGTACTCGGAACCAAAGAAGAATTAAAAAAAAAAATACAAAAAAGCTTTTACTGAGATCCATTTTTAATTCACTATTTTATTGATAAAGGGTGAATATATTGCTTAGTTCTGTCCAGTGAGTAAGATATATCAGTACTTGTCACAAAATGATTTGGGACACCAGTACGAGAGTGGGCCCTGCTCAAAGTGAGTAATGGGGAGACTCTATTCGGTGTGCTTAGACACAAGCCAAACATGTGTTGTATGTAACTATGGAGAAGTTAACTATTCAATTAATATTATTTTATTACATTGCTTGCATTTATTGCATCTACAAATATCCCCTAATGTTCACTAGCATAAACCATAATATGTGAATAATGGCTTACACACAATGATTTACATGAGAGAAGAAAGGACAGTTCAAATAGAATTCATTTTGGTGTTTTGTAATATATAGATGTAACAAGCAGACCTATACATTGTATTACACATGGTTATTATAATCGTCTGTTTTTTATTGCAATGTTATATGATCTACCAGGCATACCTTTATTTCTGTCAAGATGAAAATGTATATTATATGCATATTTAGTAATGAACAAAATAGATTGGACTGTATTGATAAAGAAGTGGTAAGTTACTTAGTGCATTATTAGCCTCTCCTGTGATACAGATTACTGATGAGTAGTAGAGCTAAAGTACCAAAAAAACAAGCACATTTTCAATCATTAAGAAATAAAAAGACCATCTGGGCGGAAAAGTCTTAGATGTTTTAATCTCAATGATCAGCCAATTGATCTCTCCTTCTGTAATCTCCTTACCCAGATCTTAATTTTCTGCTGGAGAAATACTGTGCAAATAAATGTTTTCTACAAATTCATCAATAGTGTGCCAAGTTGAAAGTCTAAGAAGCCTTGCACAGATTAGGAATTAGGCAAAGTGGAATTTTAAAACAATATCCCCATTCCGTGGAATGCTACACAGGGTGATGCAGTTACATTTTCTGCAGTCAGACAAAATCTTTCTGTCTGTCTGTCCGTCCGTCTGTAAGTCAGTCAGTTTGTCTATCTGTCCATACGTCATTCCATCTGTCTGTCAGTCAGTCAGTTTGTCTATCTGTCCATCCATCCGCCTGCCCATCTGTTTATCTATCTAGACAAAGAGAGAAAGAAAGAGGCAGAATAAAGACCATAACAATTAGAAGTTTACTCTGTCCTCTCATGGTTTTCCTCTTATCTCTCCCAACGTTTATTCAGCGTCTCCTTTTCTAACGATACCTCCTCCCCTAGTCCTGTTTCGGTTGGAGTCCCCCAAGGCTCTTTCCTTGGTCCCCTTCTATCTTCTCTTTATATTGCCTCTCTTGGCAAACCTATTACTTCTTTTGGACTCCACTACCACCTGTACGCTGATGACACTCAGATATATCTCTCCTCCCCGGACCTCTCACCTGCTGTCCTGCAACATGTCACTGCTTGCCTTTCTTCCATCTCTGACTGGATGTCCTCCAGCTTTCTGAAACTCAATCTCTCTAAAACTGAGCTCATTGTATTTCCTTCTCCTAATACTGATCCTTCTCTTTCGCTCTCCCTTCAAATTAGTGGTATCCACACAAGTCCATCCTTGTCTTGGTGTCATACTTGATTCTGGCCTCACCTTTGAGCCTAACATCCAGTATGTTGCCAAATCCTGTAGATTAAATCTTAAAAACATAGACACATCCGCCTCTTTCTTATGCAAGATGCTACCAAAGAGCTTGTCCATGCTTTAGTAATTTCCCACATGGATTATTTTAACCCTCCAAATGCTGTATTGCCCCACTACAGACTGATTTTCCTCTCTAGTCAGTCCTCTCACACCTCACCCCTCTCTGTCATTCCTAACATTGGCTTCCTGTATTAATAATTAATAAAGCTGTGGACTAATATTTCAAACAGTATAACCTGTGTCCGTGTCTTAACGGGGGTTTGGGTAAGGTTAGCGCATATGCTGGCAAATCCGACTGTACTCCTGTCATGTTGTTGGTATGAGCAAGTTTGCAACAATAGCCTGGATGCAGACTGTGTTCAGATTAAAATGTGTGATTTTTCATCCGAACCGTATACAAAGCAGAGGATTCAGAATATTCACAAAGCACCAACTTTAAACAAAATTGGATCCAATTGCATGTGGCAGGCTGCACGTTCACAAATTATTGTTTACTTGCTTTTTACCAGTGCATGATTATTTCAAGAATTATTTGCATGTTACTGGCAGCACTAGCAGTCAGCAGGCAACTAGTTAAAATGCTAATAAATAAAAAATAAAAAATCTCAGGGGATGAATGAGAACCCCATATTACTAAAAGGGAGGTTTTAAACCTCTCAATGCCCCCACTTGCCTTGAGGCAGGAAAAGCATATCTACTAAATATTTAAAACTAGCAAATGGGCTGCAATTGCTGCTCCGTTGCTAGAAATGCCTGTAAAATAAGTCCTCCAAAAAAGGTCAAATTAAATCCACAATACCACGATGCAACTATTGAAAATAAAAAGATTTGTGAAAAATCTGACAAAAAATTAAACCAGCACAATAAAAATCGATCTGGCTTCACTCCACGTAGAATGAGCTTCAAGGCTTGGAAAGCCTTTATGAAGGCTCATTACAGTACTGTGATTGGTTGGCTTGTAAATCAGCCAATCAGAGAGCTCTGACAGGCAAGTGTAATGTCACTGAGCTCTTTAATACGTTCCATTGCACTACCAATGTTTGTCTATGGAGATTTCACGGCTATGCAGTAGAGTTTATGCACCTGTAAGCACTGCGTGAAGCTACAACCCCTGAAATCAATAATTAGTTTCCACATACTTTTGACCATATAGTGTATAACAGAATACATGAAAGCACTGTATAATTGTGGAAAAAAAAAAAAATTGTGTTAAAAGTAATTTTTTTTTAAAATCTTTGATGTGATTTATGTTTAAATTTAATGTTGGACACTTAGACTTATTGTTCTTTTACAGTTTATTTATTCTTCCTATCTCCCTATACCTTCAATAGTGATCTTTTTTTCAAAATTCTGTTTCTCATTGTCCGTCCCTCCCAATCTCCCTCCCCACTCCCTCCCCTTGCCAGCTCAGATTACATGTATGTGCTCTAAGCCGGCAAAATGATCCAATCAAAAGCTTCTATGTGAGAAGCCTTTAATTGCATCACACAAGGCATTTGTTGATGTCACATGGATATTTTAAAAAGGCAGTACTGGGAACTTCCCAGGTAACAAAAAAAGGATATATTTTACAGATTTGGTGCAAAATGTAGGGGTGGAGGGTCCTAGTTAATAGTGCCTAACAAGGCATTTTGAAAAGAAAAACATCTCCTTGCAAAGAGTTGGATCAACCCTTTAATTACAAGCAAGCATTGGCTGGCTAAGAGTCATGGAAGCTACAATCCAAACAACTGTAAAAAATATAATTGCTTCTCCAAATTAGTACATGCCTATTAATAAGAAAAAAAGCTAAATAAAAAG